ATCTTTCTTCAGTTTGTAGACATGTTTAGGAAAACTTAGATCAACAAATCCCTTTGGTTGTTCCACATAAACTTCTTCATTCAGATAGCCATTTAAGAAGGCACTTTTTACATCCATTTAAAACAATTTAAATTTCAGTATGCATGCAACTCCCAAGAGTAGTCTGATTAATTCAAGTCTGGTCATAGGGGGAAAAGTTTCATCAAAGTCAACTCCTTCAATTTGAGTATACCCTTGTGCAACTAACATTGCCTTGTTTCTAGTGACCACTCCTGTTTCATCAGATTTATTCTTGTACACCCATTTTGTGCTAATCACATTTGTCCCTTCAGGTCTTGGAACAAGATCCCAAACTTCATTTCTAATAAATTGTTCTAGCTCTTCTTACATAGCATTGATCCATAACTCATCAGTTAAGGCCTCTTTGACATTCTTAGGCTTAATCTTTGACACAAAGCAAGAGTTTGATATCCCATCTCTTGATCTGGTGATAAGTTCCTTAGGATGGTCTCTCTGGGTTCTAATTGAAGGTCCTTTGTTGAGATGACTAGGCTCAGGATCTCCTTGAGGTGGATTAGAATCAATATGTCATTTAATTCTATTGGAATATCAGACACAAATGTTCCAACATCTTCTGAGACATCTTCTTCAGTACTTCATCCTCTATCATAAATAATAACATTTATTGACTCCATCATAACTTTGGTTCTCGAGTTAAAAACTCTGTAGGCTTTTCTATTTGTAGAGTAACCCAGGAATATTCCTTCATCACTCTTGGGATTCATCTTCCTCCTTTGTTCACGATCAGCTAAGATGTAACATTTACTTCCAAAAACATGAAAGTATTTAACAACTGGTTTTCTTCCCTTCCATATTTCATATAAGGTGGTTGAAGTTCCTTTCCTTAGAGTGACTCTATTATAGATATATCATGCAGTATTCATAGCTTCAGCCCAAAACTGATAGGATAGCTTCTTAGCATGAATCTTGGCTATGGTAGATTCTTGGAGAGTTCTATTCTTGCGTTCCACAATCCAATTTTGTTGAGGAGTAATGGGAGAAGAGAATTCATGGTTGATTCCTTTAGAGGAGGAAAAGTAAGCAAATTTATTATTCTCAAATTATTTTCCATGATAACTTATGATTCTTATGACATGACTTTCCTTTTCCCTTTGAAGTTTTTGATATAGATCTTTAAGCACTTCAAAAGTTTCTGATTTTTCTCTAATAAAGCATATTCATGTGTATCTAGAAAAATCATCTACAACAACATATGCATACTTCTTACCACCAAGAATTTCAACCTGCATAGGTCCCATCAAGTCCATGTGAAAAAGTTCCAAAACTTTTGATGTAGTGAGATGTTGGATCTTCTGATGTGACGTCTTAGTTTGTTTTCCAATCTGGAAGTCACCACAGATTCTACCTTCTTATATCTTGAGCTTTGTAATCCCTCTCACTGCTTCTTCAGATATAATTCTTTTCATACCTTTCAGATGCAAGTGCCCCAATTTTTGATGTCATAGTTTAACTTCATTCTCTTTGGCTAAAATACATGTTGAGGAGAAGTTCAACTCTTGAGGAACCCATAGATAACAGTTGTCTTTAGATATGGTTCCTTTCATAATAACTTCATTCTTTTCATTGCATATAAGACATTCTTCCTTGGTGAAGTTAACTTTGAATCCTTGATCACACAATTGGCTTATACTTATCAGGTTAGTTGTTAACCTTTTAACAAGTAACACATCACCAAGCTTAGGGACTCTTGAATAATCAAGCTTACCAACACCTTTGATTTCAGCTTTTGCTCCATCACCAAAAGTCACATAGCTGGTGGAATGAGATTTGACATCCACCAACAGATTCTTGACACTTATCATGTGTCTAGAAATGCCATTGTCAAAAATACCAGTCATCTTTGGTTGATACTCTGAGGGGGGTGTGAGCTATGAAACTAGCAACATTAGACTTTGGAATCCACTGTTTCTTATTTTTTCTATTTTGTGGAATCTTATCAGTCTTGGGAGGAGGAGTAGTCCTAGGATTCCCATAAAACTTTAAACAGGAGGGCCTTATATGACCAAGCCTTCCACCGTGATGACATCTCCAGGGTTGGGGATTCTCCTTTGTGTGATTAAACTTTTTCTTGCCATGATATCCTTTCTTGCCATGATGCTTATACATTTGATTTGACATCCTTGGTTTAGATTTGGCCTGAGTGGGATATGATGAAGATTCTTATGAGTTAGGTTTCTCTTTCTCATTAAACCCTAGACCACTCTTGTCTCCAGTTACTTTCCCCACTTGAAGAATTTCATCTAGTTTGTCAGATCCATTATTTAGCATCTTGAGAGGTTTGACCATTCTATCAAGGTTTGAATTCAAGGAAGTCACCTCACTTTCCATATTAGAAATAGTTTTTAAATGTTCTTCCCATTCAGCCTTTAGCTTAGTTATGATAGCTTTCTGTTTCTCCCCTTTAAGGCACACTTCTTCACTTCTGAGACATAATTCTTTGTATGAAGTAGCTAACTCATCAAAGGTTAGTTCCCCATCACTAGACTCTTCATCAGATACATATTTTCCTATCAATGCTTTAACATACTTGGAAGATTCTTCAAGATCACTCTCTGAGTCCTCTTCAGACCAAGTAACAAACAAATTCTTCTTTTGTTTCTTAAGATATATAGGACATTCAACTCTAACGTGACCAAATCCTTCACATTCCAGACATTGTACTCCCTTCCCTTGAGTGGATTTTTCTTCAGCCCTTTTTCTTCCAAACTGATTTGACTTATGGATGTCAAATGAGATGTTCTTGACATTTGATCTTTGGTTCCTATCCATTCTTTTTATCATTTTGTTAAACTGTCTTCCAAGCATAGCAAAGGCATTTGATATTCCTCCATCTGTATCCAAATCACAGTCTTCCTCTTCATCTTCAGTATTTGATACAAAGGCTATGCTTTTATTCTTCTTTTCAGATCTTTCATTGATGATTAATTCAAATGTCAGGAGGGATCCAACAAGTTCATCCACTTTCATTTTGGCAATGTCTTGAGCTTCTTCTATAGCAGACACTTTCATATCAAATCTCTTGGGAAGACATCTGAGCATTTTTCTCACCAATTTGTCTTCTGGTATTTTCTCTCCTAATGTACTGGATGGATTAGAAATTTAAAGAATGTTCATATGGAAGTCATTAATACTTTCATCATCCTTCATTCTCAAATTCTCAAATTCTATGGTGAACAACTGAAGTCTTGACATCTTAACTTTGGATGTTCCTTCATGAGGAGATTGAATAATTCCCCGTGCATCTTTAGCTACTTCACATGTGTTCACTAATCTGAAAATGTACTTATCTATTCCATTGAATATAGCATTCAAGACTTTTTAATTTCCAAGAGCAATTTCATCTTCTTTAGACCAATCTTCTTCTGGTTTTAACTCAGAAGTAGGTTCTCCATTTTCTCCTAATTTGATAGGGTGTTTCCATCCTTTTAAAACAGCTTTTCAAGCCCTGCTATCCAAAGACTTTAAAAAGGTCACCATACGTGGTTTCCATTAATCATAATTACTTCCATCCATAATGGATGGTCTGTTCAGAAATCCTCCTTCCTTGTCCATAGTACCCGAAAGTATCTTCCCTAGATCTCACACAAATAAAGAGTAGGATGCCTGCTCTGATACCAATTGAAATTCTAGTATCAGATATGTGATGTCGAATGAGATGTCACGACACAAATATCTATTTACAAGTAAAGAGCAGCAATAACAAAAGCAGTAAAAACACAAGAGATTATTCACCCAGTTCAGTGTACAACAACACCTACTCCGGGAGCTACCAAGCCAGAGACAAGTCCACTAAATAGTATCAATTCATAGATCCTCAGTAAACTACCAGTTTATGATCTAATCACTTAATCACTACCCGTGCTATACTACTAACTAAGAATCACCTAGGTATGAGACCCTCCTCAAATCCCTTCCATCACTTACAGTGAAGAAACAACAGAAATACTAAGTTTAAAAACTTCAATCATTCAATGTTTAAAAGCTTATGAATAATACACAATTAATAACCCAAATAACAACACAAGTATTAATTCAATACTAGAGTGCTTTACAATTAAAAAACTTAGACTTTTTAAAATAGAAATAAAGTATTCTTCTTCAAAAGTTGCAGTGGTTTGAATAATGAAGCAAGTCCTTATATATGCTCAGCTGTGGGCTTGGGCTTAAAAATAAATATTCAGATCTTTTGAATATTTCTTTAAAAACAGGCCAAGATAAAATCCATGCAGATAATTCAAATAGAACAATATTCCTGCATATTTTTCGCAACCTATGAGTCACAAATCCTGAATTATGGTGCGTAGGGAATCAGGAAACAGAAAACTTAAATTGATGTTGGCTGAGTTCAGTTCAGGAGGCAGATGTCAAGACATCTGCTTTGACATCATTCAAAACATTTTACTACAAATGTCAAGTCATTTAGCAAAATATTAACAACATATTGTTTTACCAAAATTGCTGCCAACAAATACTTATAAGTTGCATCAATGTACTCACTACCAATATTCTTTTCAGACTCTCTAATTTGTACGGTACCCTGAAAATATGTTCTTTTGTTATCCCTTTTAGCCTCTGCTTGACTGTGTTATTTTCTAACTGGACGACAATGTTATTTTCCAAGTTCTCATCAATTTCAGCATTACCTTGCGGTGACAACTGTGGAACCTTTTGAGAGATTCCTTCAGTAATCTTTTTCTTCCCCTCAGGGACAAAAAAAGGGTTGTCTTGTTTCATCACCACATCCTTCTCTTTCTCCTTAAGGTGCTCTTTTCTTTTGCACTTAGCCAACGAATGCCCAATGCAGGAACAAAAAGAATATAATTTTGGGAATTTTTCATATTCAATGTCAACAAAGAAGGAAAAACCAACTCTTTCAAATAAGATCTTGTACCTGAATTCTTTAGTAAGGTTCAAATCCACTAAATCTCTAACAAAGTGTCCGAAAGGTCTTTCGAAAGAGGATTTGTTGGATGCTGAATCAATGCATATCGATGTTTCGACGCTGCTAGCAACAAAAAAAATAATGCGGATGTTTCGCCGAGATTGTATTCCTCTTCTGGAATATTGATTTCCAGTCTATCCCCTTTTAAGCAAGGGGTAGTTAGTTGGCTTAGCGGAATGTTACAGATGTTGTCGCAGACTACAGATGCAAAGGTTTTGACACTATGCAGAGCAGATTTCATAATCGAGCCCATGACTTCGGGGTACTTAGAATGTGTTTCCGAAAATAAGAGGGAGGTATTCATGAGAAAAGAGGAAGGCAAAGGAGAGAGAGAGAAACGAAACACACTTGTCGTTACCGCCAAGAGCTATCCGTTAGAGAGCATTAAAAGATATACTTACATATATTACTCATTAAACATATTATCGTATTGATAACAAGAGTTAAAACTAATTTCAGTTCATTGTTATTCTACTTAATATTACTAAATAATGGAAGTTACAAAACAGAAAAAAAATATTTAAATAATTATTTGATATATTAATATGTTAATTTCATCAATTACATTTTTAAATTATTGTTTTTGTGATATTTTACCTTCTCTATTTTTTTAAATTTTCAATATCTTTATAATTCATTTTCCATGAATTTCAATTTATTAATTAATTTCAATCTATTAAAATTTAATTCATTATTTTTACTATACGTTATAAAAAAATATAAATTAGATGATCATACATGAATACCACATATTAATATACATGTAATTATGCCTAGAACAATAAATAAATAAAAATAACTAATTAAATTATTAATCTAAATTTATATCAATATATTAAGTTTGTGAATAGTAAAAATTAAATATTATTATTTTTTAACTAAAATTAATTTTTTTTAGATAATAAGATATATAGAATAGTAAAAAAATATATAGTTAAATGATTTGTGTGTTATATTATATTTAAGTGTAATACCTAGTATTAATGCGACCTAACAACTATTATTAATTAAATTGGTAATAGACTTTAGGAGAATGTATAATATCAACTATTTTATTTAGGATTATGAAGAGATAAACTAAATAAAAGTAGTAAAGGGTACTTTAGTCTTTTGTCCCTTAATTTAAGTTTAGGGTCATGTTTGGTTGTGACTCATTTTGAGAAATTGGAACAAAAATCAGATTGCAAGAAGAAGGAAAACAGAGAAAGAGAAACGTGAAGTAGCGGAAGGAAGGGAGAAAAGTTTTCCAAGCTCAAGTATTCCATCTTGCATGTTTCAAAGATCAATTTCCATCTCTTGATTCAGCCACCTCTATTATGTTCCAGCTCCTTCTCATCATCAATTTCAGGCGAGTTATGTAGAGACTTGGGGTTTTGGGGTTATGTTGGGGATAAGGGTTTGAGTGTATGTGTTTCAAATAATCCTTGATAATGCATGCTCTTGACCCCATTTCTATAATACTATGTATATGCATCCTCATTTTGTTCTGTATGTTCCCATTGTGGTTTGCATGTTGATAAATTGGGTTTTCGGCGTCCAAGTTCACAATCTACATTTTCTGAACACAGCAAAGTTCGTTTAGAAAACTATAGTTCACTTAGAGAAGTAGCCTTTGCTACAGAGTCCGCTTAGCAAAAGTCTAGGACTGGAAATTTAAAATAAAGAATTATTCGCTAGAACTTCGCTTAGCGGGTCGGGACCTTGCTACAAGTTTGTTTAGCGAACCTTCCTTTTCAAAACATAGAGAAGTTTTTGACTTGGTTTGCTACTAATTTTCTAGAGCTCTCTTAGCGAACTACCCTGAACAACAAATTTTTGTAACACTAAAATTTACATAACTTGAGTTTGGAAACTCGAAATTAAGCCTGGTTTGAGGCGTTGTGATGCAGATTTAGTTCTATACCTGGTTATGAATATATTCTAGGAGATGATTACTCTTTAACTAATTGGTATGTATACTTGATTAATGCATTATGTTGTGATGTGACCTATTTCTATGACATGATCATTGTATGTTTCCCATTCATTCCGATTGAATGTTCGAATGGATTTTCCTTGGTAGCTTGATGTGATTGTTTGTATATGCTTGAACCAAAGTATACCTAGGCTACTAGGTGGTAGACCGCATATGACTATGGACTGGATCCAACTTATTTTACCGTTGCGATGATCTGAGTGAGCTGATCAAGGGCACTTCAACCATGCGTAATCATCTTCGTTACCGGTACGTCATACGCACCTAAGCTACCGTTGCGATGACTTGGGCAGGACGATCAAGGGCACTTCTACCAGGCGTAATCATTGGCGTGCTTGTATGGTGAGGTAGTGATACCATGTGGGATACACTTCTTGGGAAACTCACCTCTTGTTGTGCCACATAGGCAATACCATTAGGCTCTTCTCGGTGGGCTTGTGTAGTTATTATGGCGTATTTGCACTAGTCGTTAACACACCTGAGTAATATGGATGAATACAATTACAATGTACATGTGGGGTCTTACATGGCATTTCCTCACTAGCCGTTAACAAATTGGCATTCTTGATATGACGGGGTTGTGACCCCACTTAGGCAACGTCGCTGCAGATAAACTTATCATAGATGGAATTCCATGTAGGAATGATTCGATTCATCTAGTGGTATGTGTTGTACCCCAAAATTTTCCCTCTCATTTTACTCAAAACATATTCCTAGAGGTCCTCAATTGCTCAAGTTGACTAAAGATTGACCAGACAAATATTCCTCCTAAGACAATGAGCCTCAAACTAGGGTTTCACTCCTCATCAAGAAGTTTGAGTTCCAAGGGTCCTAAATGGTTTTCATTGCCCTAATATGTCCTTCAAACCATTCATGCCAAGTTTCATGCCTTGCACAAGAAGTTTGCTCAATCAACTGCTCAAATGCCTGAAAATCAACTATACTAGGGCAAAAGTCAACCGTGGCCCAAATACAGTCAAACTTCAAGATTTTTGGTCAACATCAACATTTTGAAGTAATATACATCATTTGATCAAGGTTTGATCATGATTCCTCAAGGAATTCCCCAAATCCATCAAAACTCAAAAGTTGCTAAATTAGAGCTTCTAAAGGAAAAGTCAACCAAACTTTGACCAGGCATAACTTTCTCATACTTTATCAAATATTTCTCATCCCAGGCTCATTTTGAAGATAATCCAATTACCTACAACTCATCTTCAGCCCTCAAGTTCAAAAAATGCACTCATGAAAAGATATAAATCCAGACATTATAGGTCATTTTAAAAAGTCAACAAAAGCACCTTTTGGGTCAAAGCTTCTTACATGAACATGGTAGATCCAATTGATATGAAACTAAATAGGTTGCTTAGAGGACATCATAAGCTTTCTAAAATGTCCAAGAACACCCTCTTAGGATCAAAATTGAGAGAGATGTGCATCGTCAAAGTTGGCCAATTTTGGAAATGTGTATGAAGTCAATATTGATCAAAATTGATTTTTTTCCAAAGGGGCCCATGTTTTCTCGTTTGAAACTTGTTCCTAAGAGGACCCACGGCCCCTGAGCTTATTCACTTATTAATTTATTATTTTTATTATTTATTTTGATTTTTCATTCATTTAAATCAAAATAAATCAATTTAAATAGTGGAATAATCAAATAAAATCAAAGATGTGATTTTGTGAGTACATTATGAGTCCATAAACAGCTAGAAAATCACCCAAATCATGAAAGGGCTATTTGGATTGAAAAAAAAATCATGATTTTGGTCTATTTTAGAAACAAATCATACAAGGCAAAAAATAAAATCAAATCTCCATAATTTGCAAAGATATGATCAGTTTTTGTTGACCTAATTCACTCTACTATATATTCATAACATTCCCAGAGCCAGAGGACAAGGTTTGCCCGTGTGGATTGAGAGAAGAAAACTCAACTTTTGACAAAGAAAGAGGCAATTGGATTTTGCTCTACAAGGTGACTCAAGGTGTTTCAAGGCCAGCAATCCTATCCTAGAAACCTCCTGAAGCTAACGGCATCACTTGCACGCATAAACACCTTCAGAAATCGCACGTACTAGTGCCACGGTTTGCTCATATTCTTGAAATTGATTTTTGTTGTTCACGCATGATAAATGATTTATAAGTATATATTCATGTTTGTATCATCCCTTAGAATGTGTTTGCATATTTAATTCGTGTTTTGATGCATGTATGATGAATTGCCATTGTTAGGGTTTAGAGTTATTTTATAGGGCTTTGCGTTTCAGGAAAAATTAGGGCCAAAGATGGATACCATTGCATTCAGGAGATCAAACTTAATTGATCTGTGTAATTGGATTTGATTTATGTTGCCTGGATATGATTTTTGAGGATTGCAGGTTTATAGAAATGGATACAACCGTAGGTAAAAGTCCAGTACCTAAAACGACGGTCCTGCGTAGAAGATAAAGGTGTGTCAATACCTGAGTGGATGGTTTGAATCTCGCGCGTTTTTTCTTATCAGATTGACTCATTGTTAAATATATTATTTGTTGTTTTTTGTATCAATGAATAGCAAGCTGGCTCAGTGGAAAAGGGAAAGGGTTTCAAGACGCGCGTGTGTGGGAGGTCAGGGGTTCGACCCCTACCTCCTGCATATTATTTTCCTCACAATTCCCTTACAGATGCAGTAAAGCCATTCCAAACGCGCTCACGGTGCACCTCAACATCTCTTGCCTTGGATCATTCAGTGATCAGATCTAAACATCCAGCACAAGCAGCGCATGGTGAACCTCCAGAGGGGATCATCACTGGATCACACGCAAGCCTTGGGCCAACTATTCTGGGCCTGAAAATCCCAATTCACACCTCCCAGATTACTATTTCACCAGGCCCAATTTAATTCCTTTTTAAATTTCTTTTATTTGTTTTAATTAGTTGTTTTAATTATTTTTACAAAAATCATTTTTTAATTAAATCAAAAAATCACAAAAGTCACAAAAATTAGAATTAGTTTTTTTATATAAAATTTTTTAATTGCATTAATTAATTAGATTAATTAGGATAACTTAAATTATTTTTCATAATTAAAATTAATTAGAAATTAGGTTGATTTGCAAAATTAATTATTTTCTCTCAAAAATAAAAAAAAATACTTTTCTCTATTTACTAATTAAATATCTTTGAATTTAATTTTAGTTCCGTATTTAATTTTGTCGCGCACATTTATTTCATTATTTTTCTAATTAATGTAATTGCTCCTGATTTGTAATAATTTAATTCGGTTTAAATTTCTGCATCTAATTATGTAACGGCCCCAAGGCCTTGTAATAGTTTAGGAACCTTTATCTTTCTGCAACTTATTTTCTGTATGATAAACTGCTTAGATGAATGGCTAATAGGATTATATGGAAAGATAACGATTAATTGAACATAGAAAACCCTAATTGTGCAAAGATAAATAAACTGAAAAATAAACACTTGCACATGCTCATTCATAGGGTACTCCTCACTTCGGTTGCCTTCGATAAAAGATCATGAAGTATAGGGAGTCTTAGTGGTTGTCCTCTAGTCCCAAAAGATAAAAAATGACCCATTCGAATGTTGCCTCGGAAAGATCTTTAGGACTCTAGGATAACTACTAAGGTTTCCTAATCATTGCTCTAGTGATTGTAATTGTTCCTTTCGTCCCTTTCGATTATCCCTTGAACTCCAACGATGGAGCTACCTACTCCTTAATAGTAGGATAGCGTTATCTAAAGGAAATAAGAAAATGAACAAACTTTTTTCGAGTAGGTAGAAACTTTTAGGTACTTGCTCAAAACAACAAATTTTTACACATACACTTTCAAACAAGCTTTTGAAACTAAAGTTTTCAAAAACATTTTATCACACCCTTGAGGACTGATACAAGGGTTACCATAAAGTAAAATGCCGCACTAAGGCAAATTTAAAAAATTTTCAAAAACACAAACACACGAAAGCAATTTCAAAAATGAGCAAATACCTAAGAGCCCATGGAAAACCATGGATAAAAAGGGTGATAACACCTTCCCTTTCTATAATTTACCCCACGTACTCATAAACATCTCGAAAAAAGTTATTTCTGTTCTTTTTACCTTTTCCTTTGTTGGATGAAATAAAAGTCGGTGGCGACTCTTGCTTACTGTGACATTTGCGAACAAAAAATGAAAACCAGTATTAACAGTCATTTCTGCCACCATATCACAGAACTGGCGACTCTGCTGGGGAATGTCTCTAGTGGGGTTTACCTTAGGATCTAGGTCATTTTAATTGATTCTTTGGCTTGTGTTGTTTGATTTACTTTTAAGGTTATCTGTTTGAGTTGTTTGGATCCTAAACCCGGATCAGGATGTTCCTTTTATGTAAGTAGCAATAAACTGTGAGGGAGCTGTGCGGGGTACACCGACACGGTTGAAACAATAGCTACATTGATGCGATACTTTGGTGTGTACCGGTAACCCTTGAGTAATCAAGGAGAATACGGGGTCGCTGCATGGTATCAT